TATGCTTTTTCTTTTCTTTTTTTACTTGACCCACATTATTTTACTGCCGAGTCTATTCACAGTTCCATGGAAATCCCTCTTCCATTGCTGTGTTTTCTTGTTCTAGGTCATAAAAAAAAAAAGGAAGGTTTTTAAATTTGTTTTATGAAATATCAAAACTTTAACTTGTACCTGATAAAAGTAATGAATATGCGATCCATACTGTCACCAGCAGAATGACGATTTCCTGGACTCTTGCCCTCCCAAAGAGGAAGAATTCAGTCGAGAGGCGAAGAGCAGTTTTAAGTAGCAAGAGTTCAGTTAAGCAGAGCAAAGGTACGCTCCCGAGAAAACAGGAGAGCGGGCTGTCTGGAAACCAGAAGCAGCCCCAAAATGGGGTAGGGCTGTGTTTTGTAGAGTGGTGGTCCCTCCCTGTGTCCTGTGTTATTTGACTGACAAATCGATTGACAGCTTTAGGCTATATAACTTTCCTGCTAGTATGCAGGCACTTACCCATAAGCACCCAAGCAGAACCCATGGGGTGGGGCCGGGAAGCAAAAGCTGCAATGCTAAGTTATTTCAAATGAGGCGTAATGAACCCTGGGTTACCTTGAGTCACCTTGTAGGTCTTGGTGCGCCTGCATCAACCTGTGCCGGCGGTTTTGTCTTGCTTGGTCCTGGTATGGCTGGAAACCTAGCAGTGGTCCTTGACCACGAGAGGCAGGATCTCTGGGCATGCTGCAACCACCAGTGTCCAGGTAGGGGAGGGAAAGGCGAACCGTCCAGGATGGGGCAGGCCCGCTCGTGTGTGACTCGCTATCTTCATCTTGGCTCTGGGCACCCTCTTCAGATCCTGGGCATGAAACCCCTGCATCACGGGAGCTCGTGGCTGGGGCTCCCTGAGGCTTCTGGTGAGTGCCAGCAGCAGGGGAGCTCGGGGGAGTACCCCGAGAAACAGAAGCAGGGGAGGAGGGCGACTCTTATATCTCTTCTGCCGCCGCCACCGCCTCAGTGGCCTGGGCACCCTTGAGACTCTGAGTCTCCCCGCGGGCCTGGTGACGTTTCTCACGGGCACGGCGCTTGTTCTTCCGGCCCCGAGGCATGATGACACAGGTCAGGGCCAACAGGCGGGAGTGTGCGCAGGAAGGCAGGCAACGAGGGCACCTGGGGGAGGGAAAAGGAGATGCCGTGAGCACCTTCAGCGGGGAGATTCCTCCCTGGCTTTAACCAAGGCCGCCTCTGCAGGGTCCTTGAGGGCACTGCTCGAGGACCCACAGGGCTCCTGTTCTCCTGCTCAGCCTGTCCCCTGAGACCCCTGTGGAGGACGGTAGAGTGAGCCTTGGGCTACAGGCTGCCAGCCTACCTGAGTGTCACTGGGGTGACAGAAGGGGCTGCCAGTGGGACCTTCCGTGTTCTAGGGCGGGGAGTCTGCTCAGTTCATCTTCAGGATCTTTAGGTGGACGGCAGCCAGGGCCTGGGCTTCCTCCCCTCTGTTGCTCTGCAGTTGACACCTCAGTGGTCCCGGGGACCCATGAGGAGGAAGTGAGGGGTGGTCCATCTCACCGGCCTGACAGGGGGAACACAGTGCTGACAGCTCTGTGGAGTCCTTTCTATCCTGGGATCACTGGGTCCTCAGTCCCTATTCAGTGCTCTCAGCTGGCTTCACGTAGGGCCTGGGACCCATCCTTCTGCCCTCTGATGGCTTTACCTTCAGGCTAAGGGTCTCACCTCCCTTAGACCTGATGTAAAGGAGCCTCGGCCCGACTGCCCTGTCCTGAGCCTTCAAGTGCTGAAAGCAGGGGCAAGGCTAGACTCTTTGTCGTCCCCACAGCTCAGCGGGTGGGGCATGTTCCCCTTAGTCGTCACTCAGGGTTCTCAGTTTGACTCCTGGGAAGGCCTGTGGCTCCTGTCTCTTTACCTGAGGACTTGTGCTCATAGAAAGGCCCACCGCTCTCTGAGAGCCAACAGAAGAAAGTGAGGGTCGCCTGATGTCCCACGTCTACCTGTGGTCTCTGAAGGCAGGAAGCTGGGGCCGGCAGATCCAGGCCTTATTATGCTTGGCCGCGCCGGTCCTCACTCAGGCCCTTCCTCAGTTTGACTCCTGGGAAGACCTATAATTTCTCCCTCTCTTCACCTATTACTGTCCCCACTTCTCTGTCACCCTGGGAGGAGTTAAGGGTTGCCTCTGCTCGGCCTGACATCTCTCCAGGCGTCTCCCAGGACTGACAGCAGGGGAGAGATGATGTGCTGCACCCATTGTTATGGTTTTCATGCTCCACTCCAGCCTTAGGTCCTCACCCCAACTCCTAGCACAACCTGGAAATGTCCCCTGTGCTGAGTCAGCCAGCCTCGGAGCAAAGTCCTCACCACCCTGAGTCCCCAGAAGTAGAAGTCAGAGTAGGCCACGTGTAGCCACAGCTATTTCTGAGGGGCTTCTGAGGACTAACACAGAGGGCAAGATTCCCCGGGCTCCGCTCTTCTGGGGTTTGTGACCTCAATAGTCCTCACTCACTCTGTCAGGATCTGGGACTCTTCCCTCTACCGAGCTGAGTCCTCCAGAGCCAGAGGCAAGTGGGTGACACATCGAACTACCCCTGCCTGGGGCTTCCCCGGGCCGAAAGGGTGGTGGGGCTATGTGTTTGTTCCTCTTTTCGGTTGGGCGTTCCCCTTGGTCCTCACTCAGAGTCCTTACACTGGCTCTTCCCGTGACCTAGAGAGGCCTGTGCTCTCATACTACAGCCTTTAATTCCCTGAGACCACCTAGGAGGATGTGAGGGTTGCCTCACGTGGGCATGACGGCCTGTGGTCACTCATGGCCGACAGTAAGGGAGGGATTCTGTGGCGTCCCCACTTTTATGATTTGGGTGGTTCCCTCAGTCCTCACGGTCCTCTGCTCGACTCTTGGCATGACCTGGAATTCCTCCCTGTGCTCCCCTGAGGCTGGCCCCTGGGACCAAGTGCCTCATCTACCTGAGACGCTCTAAAAGGAAAGGCGTGGGGCGCATCATGCCAACATTCCTGGATTTGCCAAGGGGAGGTATCCAGTGGCAGGGCTCTGCTCTAGGTGGAGTCCCTTTATCCTCATTTAGAGTCACTAGATTTCCAGTCTCTACTGAGTGAGGCTGTTCCCATAGACCAAGGCCCTCACCTCCCCGAGACCACCCCCAGTGGAAAGAGGGGGCAGGTCAGCCAGAAAGCTTTGTCCTGGGCCTCCTGGGGCTGACCTCAGGGGCGGGACTCTGCATTCTCCTCTGTTCTGGAGTGAGTGGTCCTCTTGCTCCTCATTCAGGGTCCTCATCGTGATGCCTGACCAGACCCAGGACTCCACCCTCCACTCCCCTGAAGCTGTGCTCCTCAGAACAAAGGCATTACCTTCTTGGGAATTCTGAATTGGAAGTCAGGATGAACCAGATCTGTCCAAAGCTGTCGGGGTCTTCTGAGGAGCAGGACTTTACAAGGCCCCACTCTTCTGGAGTCAGTGGCCCCTCAGTCCTAACTCAGGTTTCTTACCTTGACTTCAGGTAGCATATGGGACTCCATCCTCCGTACTGTCTGTCTGCCAGCCTCAGGCCAAGGCTTTCACCTTCCTGAGACACCAGACGGGGAGATAAGAGACCTATTCCCCGGCTACCCCTGCCGGGGGCCTCTGTGTGGTCCCCTTTGTTATGGGGAGTCCACTCATCGGCACCCAGTGTCCTCACCCTGAAGCAAATTAAGGCCTGTTAGGATCTCCTGCTTGGGCAGAATTGGAGATGCTGCCACAAGACCAAGGAACTCACCTCCCTGAGAACCTCTCCACCCTTGCCCCGGAGGAAAAGAAGGGGTACCTTCAGACAGACAGCTCTGCGCATGGCCACACAAGGGAGAAAGCAGGGTAGACTTTGTGGGGCCCCCTTCTGTTCTAAGGTCCTCACCTTGAGTAACTATCAGAGGCTGGGACTCCTCCCTCCACTGACCTGAGGACACAGCTCTTAAACCAAGGCTTTTATGTCCCTGAGAAACTTGAAGAGTAAATGAGGAGATGCTGATCTTTTCAGGGTATCTGACATTGCATATGTAGAACATCCCATTGTCACCGAAAATTTTTCTTTTTATTCATACCATTCACTTATTCAGCGTTACTGTTACTGTATTCCAAAACAGTGCTTTGGGAACAGGGCCCCTTTTATCCCATGAGATACATTTTGGAGTGGTGAGAAGAAAAATGAATTAAAAGACATAAGGTCTGGCTTAGGCTGGGAGGAGTGGAAGAGTGTAGGCTCTAGACTATTCCAGACCAGGGGACTAGACCCAGCAAGGTCACTTAAATGAGTCTTGTGAACTTGAGAAATCTGCAAGTTATTCACCTATAAAGGGAGTCTGCTAAATCCTATCCTGCGTGAATGTTGGAATGTTATGTACTACATGTAAAGCAGTGGCATACTCATTAAGAAATATTGGGTTTTTGATGAATGGCAGTTATGATATGATTATTATGAACCCCCAGAATACCACCCTCCCATCAGAGTTTATTTTTAATCCAGTAGGTAGCAGAGAATATGCAGTGCACTAGGGCAAAACAAACAAATACTCACAAATGAGCTAAATCAGTCAAAGTATCTTATTTCTACCAAAAGAAAGTTTAAACGAAGTAAGGCAAACCACGAGTTAAATGGCTTTTACTCTCTGTTTTCTCCATTTTTTGTTTCTAAATATTTTCTGTGGTCGCCTTTCACATTTCCATGAAAATTTCTATTGCAGTGCCTTGTTTTCTACTTCTGGATCATACAGAAAATATAGATGGTTTGTGAATTCCTTTTACATATACCAAAACTGTAACTTTAGAACTCTTTAAACAGCAATAAATATGCAAGCAATGTCACTCACGAATTCATATTCTTAAGAAAACACACTATCTATTACAAGAAAAAAAATTTGAAAAAACCTAAATCAATCAATCAATAATATATAGAAGTTACTAGTTTAAAACAGGAAGATAAATAAGATCTATACTTTGTTCCCTCCACCCCTACTACTCTGCACTATTTAGGAGCCTGACTGCTCTCTTCCAAAAGAAAGTAAGCAATCTGCCCGCGGCCTCCCCGCCTACATTTGGGGCAGATGTGGACCTTGGCCCTGGAAGGGACTCTGCCCTCAGCAACAGCTGCAGCCCTGGCCGCGACTCTCACTCTTGCTCTCTCTTCCTCATCTTTCAGAGCCTCCTCATAGAGATCTGGTAAGGCACTGGGGACGGTACCGATGATCTTGGCCACAAACTCCAGCACTTTCATCTTGCTGGTTTCAGCGTGGGCTCTCGGGCCCCACAGGAACTCATAGCGCGGAGGATCGCTGTTGGGCACCTGGCGGTATGTCAGGTACTTCTGCTGCACGAAATCTTCGCTGATGAGCCTCCTGGGCTCCCCAAAGATCAAGTGCCTCCTCCCAGCATAGAAACCCAACGCATTGAGGAATTGCCAGAGCTGCTCTTCAGTGGCACGGTTGCCCTTCTTGAAGATCAGGCCCAGAAGAATCATCAGGAGACCGGATGTGGGCAGCCCCGACTCATCACTCGGACTTCCCTCGCTGGGGAGGGCGATCTTGCTGATGAGGGCGTAGGAGTGATTGCTGGGGTCGGCATCCTTCAGCTCGAGGCCAAAGACCAGCTCCATGATCTCAAGGGCTCTGCTGAGAATCTGAGGGAAGTGCTTCTGGTACTTCCTGTTGACAGCCTTCAGCAGTGCTGCCTGCGGGATGGGCTCCTTCGTTATGTACTTCTCCAGCAGGAACTGCACCAACTTTCTGACCTTCCTAGTCAGAGGATCTCTGCAACTGCTGGGAATGGAAGGTGCTGCCTGGGAGGTACCTGCACTTTTCTCCTCTTGGCTCTGGGCACCCTCTTCAGATCCTGGGCATGAAACCCCTTCATCACGAGAGGTAGTGGCTGGGGCTCCCTGAGGCTCCTGGCGAGTGCCAGCAGCAGGGGAGCTCGGGGGAGTGCCCTGAGAAACAGAAGCGGAGTAGGAGGGCGACCCTTGTATCTCTTTTGCCGCCGCCGCCGCTGCCGCCTCACTGGCCTGGGCACCCTTGAGGCTCTGAGTCTCCCCGTGGGCCTGGTGGCGTTTCTCGCAGGCACGGCGCTTGCTCTTCCGGCCCCGAGGCATGATGACACAGGTCAGGGCCCGTAGGCGGGAGTGTGCGCAGGAAGGCAGGCAACGAGGGCACCTGGGGGAGGGACAAGGAGATGCTGTGAGCACCCTCAGCGGGGAGATTCCTCCCTGGCTTTAACCAAGGCCGTCTCTGCAGGGTCCTTGAGGGCACTGCCCCAGGACCCACAGGGCTCCTGTTCTCCTGCTCAGCCCGTCCCCTGAGACCCCTGTGGAGGACTGTAGAGTGAGCCTTGGGGCACAGCCAGCCAGCCCTGCCTGGGTGGTACGGGGGTGACAGTCGGGGCTGGCAGGGGAGGTAGGTCCCCACGGTTCCCATTCAGAGTCAGGATGACAGTTGTTGCCAAGACTACCCCCCCACCCCCTCCCCTCTGCTGCTCTGAAGTTGACACCACCATCTTCCATGACACCGAGGAGGAGGAAAGGAGGGAGCGTTCAGCCCACCACCGAAGGGTCCTGGGACCCTCCCTTCTGCTGCCTGGTGGCTGCCCCTTCAGAACAAAGCTCTACCCTCCCTCGGACCTGGCAGAGGAAATTACGGGCAGTCTCAGCCTGACAGTCCTTTCTTGGGAGTTTAAGGGTTGACAGGAGGGAACGGGCCATATTCTCTCTTGTCCCTTCTCTTCGGGGTGGGTGACTCCCTTAGTCCTCACTCGGGGTCCTCCCTGGACGGCCGGTGCAGCCTGGAGCTCCTCTTGCCCCGAGGGCCATCTGCTCGCACCAGTGCCGGCACCTCCTTGAGTCTCATTCGGAGGCAGTGAGGGTGACCACGCGGCCACCATGTGGCAGAGTTTTACCAAGCCTGCAGCGTGCGGCAGACAGGTCGAGGCCCTGTGGCTGGCGGCCCCACTGGCCCTCACTCAAGGGCTTGGGCTGACTCTTGGGAGTGCTTAGGGACGCGCCTTCTGCTGGCCTGCACCTGTCCTCTCAGACAGCAGCCCTCCCTTCTCCGTGTGTGGCCAGAAGGAAGCGGCTGACAACAGGGGAGGGCTTCTGAGGTGCCCTTGCGACGGTGAGGGTGGTCCTCGCCCTGACTCCTCCCGTGCCCTGGAAATCCTCCCTCTGCTGACCTGCGGCCAGCCCCTCAGGACAAGGCCCCCTCCTCCCTGTGTCTCCCGCGTCTGTCCGTCCGTCCGCGTTCGCACTGAGGGAGCCCCTCAGTCTTTAGACCTGCCCGGAGGCTCCCAGGCCGACATCAGGGGCGGGGTCCGCGTGGCCGCCATTCTGGGGTGTGGAGCCCCTCGGTCCCCACGAGGGTCCCGTCCTTCACTCCATAGGGCCTGGGGCGCTCCCTCTACTGAGCTGAGCCAGGGTCCACCAGCCTCAGAGCGAGGCCTTCCTTGCCCGAGACCCCGCTGGGGAAGCGGATGGACTTTGGGCCTAACAGCCAGGCCCGAGCCTCCGGGGCCGAAAGCAGGGGCGGGGGAGGTGGGGCCTGTGTGGCCGCCTCTTTTCGGAGGGAATGGGAATTGGCGGTGTAGGGGGCGTGTCCCGGCACTTCTTACTGGGGTCACCTCACACCTTGTAACCTGACGAGACGTAGCACTCCTACCACGGCTCACCCTCGCTGGAAGTCAGCTCTCAAAAATGGCCTCGCCCCCACATCGTCGTTAGGATGACGTCACTTCCGGTCACGCGTATCTGGGATCCAGGGGGACAGCAGGGGCGGGGCGGGGGCGGGGCCGGGGCCGGGTGGAACGGGGGGTGGTGTGGGGGGGTGTTTCTGGGGGAGTTTCCGGCAGGCCTGGCACGAGGGCCTTTCATTGACTCTTGGCGGGTCCTGGGACTTTTCACTCTGCTGAGCTGAGTCAGCAGGCGTCACACCTTCGCTCTCGTTTCTATCAGCACCCCCAGCCAGAAGTATCTGGGGCCCTGAGCCTCACAGCCATGCCTGGGTCCCCCGAGACTGACAGTGAGGGCTCTTTGGGGCCCCTTCTTCTATGGCGGATGCTGCTCTCAATCCTCTCTCAGTGTCTTCTCTTGACTCCCTGCAGGTGCTGGGCTACCTCCCGTCTGCTGACCTGAGGCCAAGGCCTCACATCAAAGACATCAACTCCCTGAGACTGCTGGTGTGAAGTGCAGGCACGTCTCATCTGGACACTTCTGCCTGGAGCCTCCCAGAGATGGCTGCTGCAGGTAAGATGAACTGAGGGGAAAGGAGGCGAGACTCTCTTCTGTGGTTTGGAGCCCGTCAGGTCTCACTCAAGGTCCTCACATTGACTGCTGGCAGGGCCTGCGATTCCTTCCTTCTCTGGTATGAATCCATCCCTGTCCCCAACCGTGCCCCACAGAATCCCAGAGGAGTTAGTGAAGGGGCGCCTTAGCCTGACAGTTCTCACTGTGGTCTCTCTTTGTTGACATCAGGGGCATTGCCCAAAAGTTCAGAAATGAATTTCTGTCCTTTTGTACAACTACTGTGTTACTTGCTTTTCTCTTTTAGTCCGTGTGCGATAGTCTATTAAGATGATCACTTAAAAAGGCCAGTTGTCATGCACTAAGAAAGTTTCAGATGGTTATTTCACAGCCTGTGGACCATACTGCCACATCCAGCCCAATCTTTGGTGTCCCATGCTCCTGGCATGCGGGCTCTGAAATGCTGCCTCAGATTCCTTCAGTGAAGCAGTAGAGATTCATGGTCCCAGAGCACAGTGGAAGAATCAAGGGCTCAACGTTATAGGCTTTTCTCTAATCAATCCTGTCATCTGCCTCTCTTGCAGGCTACAGACCTGTCTCGAATTCAGGGCATCCCCCTACCTGCCCACACTCAGGTTCTAGTTCAACACAGCCTTAGTCTCTCCCAGGGGGTTCTCATTTATTTTGTTTTGTTGTTGCTGGTATTGTTCTTTCATTCTCACTTTTATAGTTTCTCCAGTATCGAGTTTAGTAAACAGCAGCCCAAGTCTGGTAGCCATCTTGGAAACTACATATGAGGCAGTGTATTAGCATGCTCAGGCTGCCGTAGCAAAATACCACAGGCTGGATGTCTTAACAACAGCAATTTATTTTCTCACAGTTCTAGAGGCTAGTAGTTCCCGATAGAGGTGCTGGCCGACTCAATTTCTGGTAAGAGCTCTCGTCCTGGCTTTTTGCTATGTCCTCACAGGGCCTCTTCTCTGTAAATACACAGAAAGAGAATGATATCTGGTGTCAATTACTCTTCCTGTAAGGACATCAGCCTTATTGGATTAGCGCCCCACCCTTATGACTTCATTTAACCTTAATAACCTCCCTAAAGACCCTGTCTCCAAATACAGCAACAGTGGTGGATTAGGGCTTCAGCATATGAATTTGTGGGGAGTGTGGAGGGCACAATTCAGTCCATACCAGGTAATAAATCTGTAAATAATTCAAGGAGAAGTGGCATATTTACAATATTCTTTTCCCCATGAATAAACATAGCGTACTTCTTTATTTATTTGGGATTTCTTTTTCTATCAGTACATTTTTATAGTTGCCTACAAAAAGATCATGTACATTTTTGTTAAGTTTCCTTTTAAGTAAGTTTTGGATGCTGCTGCTGTTGTTATGGGAGTATTTTCTATTAATTATTCTAATTAGCTATTGATTTTGTGTGGTTAGGCTCCTGATTTTGGTATAGTAATCTTATATACAACAGCTTTTGGAGTCTCTTGTTCATTTGAGTATTTTGTGCACTGGTTCCTTGGGATTTTCTAATTAGAGGGTTATATTGTCGCCATTTATTATCTCTGTCTTTTCAATATTCCTTCCTCTTATTTATTTCAATATTCTTATTCTTCTAGTTATGTATTCCAGTCCACTTTTAAACAGTAGATACAGTACCATAATATCTGTGTCTTTGTCCTGACTTTGATGGGAATGCTTCTAACATTTCACATTTATCTAAGTTTGCTGTAGATTTTAGGAAATGAAAATTCTCTTCAAATGTTATTTTACTAAAGGCTTTTAACCATGGTGTTAAGTATTTTTTCAAAGGCTTTTTCTACACCCCTGGACATGATCAAATACATTTTATTCTCTAATCTATTAATATAGAGAAATTCCAGTTGACAATTTTTTGTAATGTTATAATATCTTTGCATTTCTTGAAGTCAGCCTCTTTACTCACTGCTGTATTGGATATGCCATGAATTTATTTAGGATAGATGTCTCTACATAAGTGAGCTTAGCTCAAGTGATTTTTTTTCTTGGGGTGTCATTATTTGGTCTCTGTTTGAAGGTCAGCACACCTATTAAAATGAGTTTAGCAATTTATCATCAACAGATTATTGGAGAAAGAAAATGTGGTATAAAGATATGATATTTATAATGAACATTTTCACTAAAGAAATTATTAATGGTATACAACCATACAGAGAAGAGTAAAATGAACCCAGTATACCTGACACTCAGAATCAACAATCATTAATAGTTAGAGGTAAATATTGATCCAGTTAGCATTTGTTAGGTTTTTACTTTACAGATTTTGAAATTTCCAGACAAGGAATTTAAATAAATTTGAGTACTATTTTAAGAGTTCTAATAGGAAAAATAGACAATATGCAAGACTAAATAAGTAATGTTATTAGAGAGAAGGAAACTGTAAGAAAGAATCAAAACTAAATGCTAGAAATCAAAAATACAGTAAGAGAATTGAAAAAATACCTTTGACAGGCTCATTAGTAGATGTGACACATGTGAGGAAACAATCAGTAAATCTGAAGACAGGTGAATTGCACCTCCTCAGTTGAATCAAAAAGAGAAACAAAGAACAAAATAATTAACAGAACACCCAAAAACCATGGGGCAATATCAAAAGGTGTAATATACAGATAATTCCAATGCCAGGCAGAGAAGAATGGGGGTAGAAATACATTTGAAACAATAGGCCAAGGACTTTCTAACATTAATGACAGACACCAAAGCATAGATTGAGACAGCTCAGAGAACACCAAGATAAATACCAAAACAAACAAACAAACTATACCTGGGCATATCGTATTCACACTGCAGAAAACCAAAGGCAAAGACAACATTTTGAAGAAAGTTGGGGGCGGGGAGAGACACGTCTCCTAAAGAGGAAGAAAAATAAAGATTATAGCAAACTCCTCATCAGAAAGCATGCAAGCAAGAAGAGAGTGAAGTGAAATCTTTAAAATGTTGAAAGAAAAAGTATCAACTAGAATTCTGTATCCAACAAAATTTTAAAAAAAGAGAGAGAGAGAGAAGGGGAAATAAAGACTTTCTCAGTCAAACAAACAGACAAAAAAACCCAGAGTCAATTCATTGCCTCATAGGCCTCATAGTAGATCTACTGTGCAAGAAATGTTAAAATAAATTCATTATGTGGAAAGAAAATGATATAGATCAGAAACTCGGATGAGTATAAAAAAGGAAAAGCATCAGAGAAGGAATAAATGGAGATAAAATGAAATCTTTAACTTTTGTCATTCTTAATTAATTTAAAAATGTTTGTTTTAAGCAGCAATAGTAACAATGGACTAGGTGGTTGTAGCACATGGACAAGTAAAATAAACGAGAGCAATGTCACAAGAGACAGGAAGGAATTAGAAATCCTCTGTTATAAAGAATCGGCACTACATGTGAAACAATATGATATTACTTGAAGGTGGACTAAGATTATTTAGAAATGTGTATTGTAAACCCTAGGAAAACCAGTGAAGAGGTTAAAGAAAAGTATGAACGATATATCAAGAAAAGAGATAAAATAGAATCATGTAAAATGCTCAGTTAATACCAGAGAGCATAAAAAAAGGATATAAAAAAGAGCAAATGCAACAAATAGAAAACAGTTACACAAATAGTAGATTTTAATAAAACTATTGATATATCAATAATCACTTTAAATGTGAATACTCTAAATACACGAGTTAGAAGGCAGAAATTGTCACAGTGGTTAAAAAATAAATTAAAAAAGACTCAACTATATGCTATCTATGAGAAACCCATTTGTGTATCAAGACTCTGATAGGTTAAAAGCAAAAGGATGAGAGATTTTAGTACAGTGAAACTCTTCTATATGATACTGTAATGGTGGATACATAACATTATGCACCTGTCAAAGTCTGCAACACAGAGAGTGACCCTAATGTAAACTATGGACTTTAGTTAATGATAATATATTAATATTAGTTTATTAATTGTAACAAATGTACCACACTTAACGCAAGATGTCAGTAATAGGGAAAACTGTGTGTGTGTGTGTCAGGGTGGGGGTATATGGGAACTAGTGCTTTCGGCTCAATATTTCTGTAAGTCTAAAACTGCTCTAAAAATAATGTCTATTAATTAAAACAAGAGCAAGGAAAATTCACATACATGGTAGACACATAACCAGCTTACTGTAATTGGAATAAATCTATATTGTAATTGAACTAAAGCACTCAAGCAAGAGTCAGCTACAGAAAAAGAAGGAGTCTTTAGATGATGTGATGGATTATCTTGTTAAGAACATACCTCTAAACTGTCTGGTAGATTTCTTTTATCTTCAGCTGACCAAGTCTCAGAATGCTGAGAACCAAGGTGCAGGGGAAGACAGGGCCAGCCAAGAAGCTTAGCAACCTGAGCACAAAGCACGTTAAACTTGTTCCTTTCACCAGTACATGGTGCAGCCAGCCAGATGACACCTTCTGTTATGCTGAAATTAACCTGTTAGGCAAATCTGTATTGAGGAAGCAGGAAGCTAGAAAATGCACCCTTACTTGTGGTCATTTTCAGCTGAATAAAGAACTTTAAGGTTTCTGACATTAACAGATAAATTCTTTTGTTTACTTGGCTGGTGAAAAAAGAATGGTAGACTTGTCAGAGCCTAGCCAGAACTAACTAAAAGTTCAAGTGCACTTATGGTCTCTTGCGGCCATTGTGTTGCTACTGTTAATGTACGGTTCTATTAAATAGAAACACATTCATGGGGGTTGTGGTATGAACTAGTATCTGCTCTGATTTTGTTTGAATGGGACTCATCACTGGTTTGTCTCATGATGCATGCTTGTCTAACTTTATTTTAGTTTCTTATATCTCAGGCATTTCACCTTTGAATTCAACAAAATGTACTTCAGAGTAGACTGCTTAAAAAGAAGTAGAGGGATAGAGACAGATATACCATGATAAAAGTAGTCAAAAAAAGCTAAAGTAGCTATATAAATTTCAGCCAAAGCAGATTTCAGAACAAGGAATAATATCAGGGATATGAAGAGACATTATGTAATAATAAAAGGATCAATTATCTGAGAATGTATTACAACCCCAAACATATATGCACCTAACAACAGAGCATCACAATACATGAGGCAAAAACTGATTGAACTGAAAGAAGAAATATACAGTCATAGTTGCAGGCATCAACACTTCTGTGTCAGTAATTGATAGATGAAGAAGTCAGAACATCATTACAAATATATAGATGGCATGAGCAATCCTAACAATCAGCTTGACCTAATTGACATCATACACTACTCCATCCAACAACAACAGCAGAATATACATTCTTCTCAAGCTTACATGTGACATTCACCAAGCTAGACCAACTTTTCTTTTTCTTTCTTTTTTAAAATTGTTAAAAAATTTTTATTGGAGTATAGTTGATTTACAATGTTGTGTTAGTTTCAGGTCTACAACAAAGTGAATCTGTTATATATATACATGTATCCACTCTTTTTTAGCTTCTTTTCCCATATAGGCCATTACAGAGTATTGAGTAGAGTTCCCTGTGCTATACAGTATACACACTACTATACATAAAATAGATAACTAATAAGGGCCTACTGTATACACCACATTTTCATCCATATCTCTGTCCATAAAATACCATTAAACACACCTTAACAAATTTAAAAGAATACAAATCATACAAAATATGTTCTCAGATCACAGCAGACATTAGAAATCAATAACAGAAATATATCTGGAAAGTTCCCAAATATTTATAACTTAAACAATACACTTATAAATAATTCATAAATCAAAGATTTCTTCTTTAAAATTTATATCAAAGATTTCTTCTTTAAAATTAAAATTTCTCTTGAAATCTAAAAAATTTTTAAATAAGTGAAAATGAAAATGCAGATTACCAGAATTTGTGAATTGCTACTAAACTACTGCCTAGAGAGAAATTTAGAGGATTAAATGCAAATATTAGAAAAAAAAGAAAGCTCTGATGCAAATAACCTAAGAGCCCACCTTAGGAAACTAGAGAAAAAAGAGCAAATTAAACGTAAAATGAGCAGAAGAAAGGAAATAATAAAAAATAATTATAAATAAATGAAATTTTAAAATAGGAAAACAATAGAGAAAATCCATAAAATCCTCAATGACATCAATAAACTTGGTAAGTCACTAGCCAGGATAACCAAGAAAGAAAATAGAGAAGACATCAGCTACCAATATCAGGAATAAAAGAGGGATCACCACTCTGGATCCCAGAGACATTAAAAGGATTTTTGTCAAAATGGAACGTTATGAACAGCTCTATGTCTACAAATTTGATAAAGATGAAATGGATTAGCTCCTTGAAAGGCACAAACTACCTAAACTCATTTAAATTGAAATAGATAGTCTGAAGAGCCTTACGCCTATGAAAGAAATTTAATTAATAGTTAAAAACCTTCTAAATAAAGGAATCTTTAGGCCCAGATAGTTTCATTGATGAATTCCATTAAATATTTAAGGATGAAATAATACAAATCATCTGCAATCTTTTTCAGAAAATAGAAGAAGAGAGAAGCACTCTCAGTTTTTTTTTATGAGGCCAGCATCACCCTAAGCCCAAAGCCAGATAAATATATTACTGGAGAGGAAAACTACAGACAAATATCTCTTATGAACATAGACAAAAAAATCCTTAACAAAATAGTAGCAAATGGAATTCAGCTGTATGTAAAAGGAGTAATACATTATTACCAAGTAGGGCTCATTTCCAGAATTCAAGCCTAATATAACATTTATAAATCAATTAGTGATTTTATCAGAATAATAGACTGAATAAGAAAAATGTTATCATACCAATAGATGTAGAAAAATAATTTGAAATTTTTAATACCCATTTAGGATAAAAACTTTAAAAAGTAGGTTTAGAAGGGAATTTCTGTAACCTGATAAAGGGTACATAAAACCTAGAGCTAACCTTATACCTAATAATGAGGGAGTGAATGCTTTCCCCCTAAGACTGGAAATGAAACAAAGATGTCCTCTCATTACTCCAGTTCAATATCATGATGGAAGTCCTATCCAGTGCAAGACAAACAATAACAAATAGATAAAAGGTATACAGAGGGCTTCCCTGGTGGCACAGTGGTTGAGAGTCTGCCTGCCGATGCGGGGGACACGGGTTTGTGCCCCGGTCTGGGAAGAGCCCACATGCCGCGGAGCGGCTGGGCCCGTGAGCCATGGCCGCTGAGCCTGCGCGTCCGGAGCCTGTGCTCCACAACGGGAGAGGCCACAACAGTGAGAGACCCGCGTACCGCAAAAAAAAAAAAAAAAAAAAAAAGGTATACAGATAGGAAAGGGATAAATTACAATTATATACTTTTGGCACAGGAAATGATTGTCTATGTAGAAAACCACAAAGAATCTATAAAGAAAGCCTCCTGGACCTAATAACAGTATAATTGCATTACCATATACCAGCAATTAACAATTGAAATTAGAAGTTTAAAAAAGCAAAAACATTTACCAATGCAAAAAAATGAAATACTTAACTATAAATCTAACAAAATATATACCAAATCGATTTGTGGAAAACTACAAGACACTTACCAAGAGGATCTAAATGAATGGAGAAATATTCTCTGTTAATGAATTGATAGACTCACCATTATTAAGATGTGAATTATTTCTAACTTAATCTATACATTTAATGCAGTCCCAATCAAAATCCCAGTAACTTATTTGTAGAAATTTAAAAAAACCTGATTCTAATATTTATATGAAGTGGCAAAGGTCCTAGAAGAGCCAACACAATGTTGAAAAAGAAGAATGAAGTTTGAAGACTCACAGTACCGTATTTCAAGGCTTAAAATAAAGCTGTAGTAATCAAGACAGCATAGTATTGGTGAAAGAATAGACAAATAGATCGTTGAACCAGAGAATTGAGAGCCCAGAAATAGTCCCACACAAATATAGTCAACTAACTTTCGACAAAGGTACAAAGGCAAATATCAATAAGTGAAAAATATTTTTTTCACCAAGCAGTGCTAGAGCAATGGATGTTCATATGGGAAAAAATGAACTTAGTCACAAACCTCACACCTTACACAAAAATTAACTGAAAATAGAGTATATATCTAAATGTAAACTGCAAAACTATGTAACTTCTGGAAGAAAATACAGGAGAAAATCTATGACTTTGGATGTGGTGATGAGTTTTAGATACAATAGCAAAAGCACAATATATAAAAGAAAAAAACTTATAAGTTGGACTTTATTAAAATTAAAAAGTTTTGCTCTGTGAAAGATACTGTTAAGAGAATGAAAAACTAAGCCACAGATTGAGAGAAAATATTTGCAAATCACATATCTGATAAATGACTTGTATTTGAATGTACAAAGAGCTCTTAAAACTCAACAATAATAAAACAAGGAACCAGTAGTGATTTAAATGGTGTCTCTAAAAAGAGACTGTTGAAACCTATGAATGTGACCTTATTTGGAAAAAGTCTTTGTAGATGTAATTAAGTTAAAGATCTCAAGATGTGATCATCCTGGATTAAGGATGATCTACCCAAGGACAGGTCCCATAAGAGAAAGACAGAGGAAGAATTGAGACACAGACATAGAGGGGAAAGGCATGTGAATATGGAGGTGTAGGCAGAGATTGGAGAGATGTATTTACAAGCCAAGGAACATCCAAGAATTGCTGGGTAGGTACCAGAAGGTAGAAGAAAGGTCTGGAAATGGATCTTCCCTTAGAGCCTCCAGAAGGAACCAACTCTTTTGACAGCTTGATTTCAGACTTCTGGCCTTCATAACTGTGAGAGAATAAACTCCTTTTGTTGTAAGCCTCCCAGTTTGTGCTATTACAGATGTTCTACAAAAATAATACATTACCTTATTTTAAAAGTGGACAAAAGATCTCAACAAATATCTCACAAAAGAAGATAGACAGATGATAAATGGACATATGAAAGGATGCACAACACAATTTGGCACTAAGGAAATGCAAGTTAAAACAACAATTTTTTACCAGTGAACACCTACTGAAAGGCTAGCAAGGATGCATTTGGATCTCTCACACATTGATGTTGAAAATGCAAAATGATGCAGCTATTTTGGAAACAGGTTAGTGGTTTCTTAAAAAGCTAAACATGTTTTTCTGATACAATCCAGAAATTGTGCTCCTGTTTATCCAATTGAATTGAAAACTTAATGTCAACACAAATAACTGTATATAAATGCTTATAGCAGCATTATCCATAATTACCTTACCAAAAACCAAGATGCCTTTAATAGGTGAGTGAATAAATTATCTGTGGTACATACATACAATGGAATACTATTCAGCAATAAAAAGTAATAAACTATCAACTCCTAATTCACGGGATAACATGGATGAACCTTAAATGCATATTGCTAAGCAAAAGAGGCCAGTCTGAAAATACTGCATACTATATGATTCCATTTGTAAGATATCCTGGAAAAGACAACAACAGAGA